ACGTGCTTTCGAACTGCTAGGTTGGCAGGAGCAGGGACCGAGCAACGGGAGCTCACCCCATCGCGGGGATTCAAACCGCCGACCCCTTCTGATCGGCAAGTCCTAGGCTCTGTGGTTTAACCAACAGCGCCACCTGCGTCCAATCATAGACCATGGCAAATTTGGCCCAGATGCAACATGCCAGCCTAGGCCAACTCAATGCCCTCTAAATGCACGGCTATGTTACCTGGAGTTAATGGGAGTTGTAGTCCCAAACACCCCTGCAATGTGCCAGGTTGGGGAATGTTCATATTCCTTAGAATTATAGAGTTGGAAGGGACCCTGAGGATCATCTAGTCCAACCCGCTGCAATGCAGGAATCTCAGCTAAAGCATTTATGTCCATCCAATCAATGCAGCCGCTGACAGCATTGCATGTGGAATTTAGGCAGGGGCAAGAAGAAGCTGCTTCTTTTCCTTGTTTTGCTGTTTCCTCAGTGCTGGCCTCATCCGTTTCCTCATCTGATGTCAGAATGTTCCACAAATTGATCAGAGGACCCCCCCCCCCCATTGAAGCATGGGAAGTCCCAATAAAAAATTATAATTTGGCAGAATATTTGGACTATATGATATGTATTTGTATAATTTGGAATATTTAATGTGATTTGATTGGATTGTTAAAATGGAAAATTTAATTAAAAATTATTTTTTTTAAAAAACCCACACAGAATGTTCCACAAAAATTTGGGGATAAGGATGCAAAGAAGGTCTCTCTCTCTCTCTCTCTCTCTCTCTCTCTGTGTGTGTGTGTGTGTGTGTGTGTACACATGCAAAGTTTGATTCAAGGGACAAGGCAGTGAGGGGCTGTCATCCCAGATAACCAAGCAAAGGCTGTTTGCCAGCCTTTGGTGGCGAAGAAAGGAACATAGCAGAGAATGCAGCGTAAAGGCAAGAGCAATTAATTTGCCTGTTTTAAAATACTCTCTTGAGATGAAATCACATGCTCGTGACTCACCAAGTCACATAGATGCAACAACAGTCTTCATGTAAGGAAGTTAAGTTTAGACAGGTCTCATGATACGTAATCTCTTAGGCGGCTTTTGGGCGCAAAATGCCGCCGGCATGCAACGCCTTGTTAGTGGGATTTGCGCCGGCAGTCAATCTGCGACTGGGCCAAGTTCAAGGTCGCGGTACTAAGACATAAGGCCTTCTGCAGCTCAGGAGCAGGTTACTTGAGATATGGCCTTATTCGCTTCTGTGGGAGAAAGTTAAGCAAAGAAGATGCAATCAGGAGAGGTGTTTCAAATTGCTACTTCCCCCCTGGTGGTCCTCAGTTATCACAGCTATTGAGAATCAGCCCTAGGCTGGGCTGCACAGTTCTACCAGTTTTAACCTGCGTAGCCCTGCCCTCGAGTTTTGCTTCATGGTCACACTCGAGTGTAACGGAATGTTTGCTTACGACAGTCAAACTTGCATTTTTCAGAGCTTTCCCAGGAAGAAAACCCTTCAGGCAGCCGTCTCCCTCCTTTTCCGTGGGAGAGCAATCGGCAGCGTCTGTGTTTCACCTGAGCAAATGTCAAGGGCTGACATTCTTGATTTAGAAGCCCTTTCTTTACCCGGCTGAATGGATTCCGGGGAATTCTGAGCCAAACCCAATTGTGCAGGTTTCAGCTCTGTGTGGAGTAACAAGAAAAGTGTGGGGAGGGAGAGAAAGACTGGCAGGGCTCTGGCGAGTGTGTGACAGAGGAGGGGGGGCGGTGATTTGTGGGGTTTTGCGCCACACGTAAATCCAGAAGCCAAGGGAAGGGTCTGAGCAGTCAGAGACGGACATGAGGGCACAGAAAGGATGGGAAGCAGAGGAAGAGGCTATGCAGGCAAGGGGCAGCCCAGTCGAACCCTCGGCACCCCCAGCCTCACTGTCTCCAAGAACCAGGAGGGGCAACTTCCATGCAGGAGAAGTCTCAGGTGATATATTCATACTCCATCAGATGAGTGTACAGTGGTACCTCAGGTTAAGAACTTAATTTGTTCCGGAGGTCTATTCTTAACCTGAAACTGTTCTTAACCTGAAGCACCACTTTAGCTAATGGGGCCTCCCGCTGCCGCCGCATGATTTCTGTTCTCATCCTGAAGCAAAGTTCTTAACCCGAGGTTCTATTTCTGGGTTGGCGGAGTCTGTAACCTGAAGCATCTGTAACCCGAGGTAAAGGTAAAGGGACCCCTGGCCATTAGGTCCAGTGATGACTGACTCTGGGGTTGCGGTGCTCATCTTGCTTTATTGGCCGAGGGAGCCGGTGTACAGCTTCCGGGTCATGTGGCCAGCATGACTAAGCCGCTTCTGGCAAACCAGAGCAGCGCACGGAAACGCCGTTTACCTTCCCGCCGGAGCAAGTATTTATCTACTTGCACTTTGACATGCTTTCGAACTGCTAGGTTGGCAGGAGCAGGGACCGAGCAACGGGAGCTCACCCCGTCGCGGGGATTCGAACCACCGACCTTCTGATTGGCAAGTCCTAGGCTCTGTGGTTTAGACCACAGCGCCACCCGAGGTACCACTGTACATAAGCCTAGGAGTGTGTGGTCCCACAGATTTCTTGATGGCTGTGCTGGGCATGAAACTGGAAAGCAGCCATGTAGATGCCAGAAACCCTGGATAGCTCAGTTGCTGGAGCATGAGAGTCTTAGGTTAAAACCCCACTTTGGGCAAAAGATTCTTGCATTTCAGGACGTTGGACTAGATGAGCCTCGCGGTCCCTTACAACTCTGTCTACAATTCTGTGATTCTGTGTGTGTGCATCTGGTGTACCTTAGGAGCTGCTGTTAAGTGTGCCAATAAATAATTACTACAATAAATAATTACTGCTGTTTGCCTTCCTTGACTGGGTATGCGCAGGACCGGGGTGGGATGGGATTGGGCAGGCAGAACAGGCTGTGCACCTGTGATTTATGGACTGTGGCCACCTCTGGTCCTCTCTCACAAAACACAGTGACACACAGACTCAGAGGAGTGGCCTTCCCACATCTTCCAGATGTTAGTTGGCTTGGCCTGGTGAAATTCCTTTCTCAGACACATTTTTCAAGTTTAGGCTCAAGCCCAGTGGTGATTTGTCTTGCGAGAGCCATTTAAAAGGGATGGGGAGGGGGAAGAGAAAGCTCTTTGCACACCTGGATTAAATCAAGCTCTTTCCAGCATGTCTGCGAGTTACTAAGGAAATTGGAGAAATGGAAAGTTGCATGGTTTCCAACAGTGCTGCCTGGGAATAGCTTTAGGCACCAGCCTTGGTCAGAGAATATGAAGTTGTGAATTGGGGGAAAAGCAGGATTGGACTTGCTGCGCCCCACTGGTCCACACTTTCATCCAAAGTTGTGAGCGGAATCGACTTTGAGAGAGGGCAGAGGGCCGCTGGGCAATAACCAAGTCCTGTATGTGTTGAGGAACAGGGGAACTATGGGCAAAGTTTTGACTTCCCCCACCTTACCTGTTGTTGCTGATGGCAGCAGCTGCTGCGTACATCTCTCATTCCAGGTATGGTGAGCAAATGTTGATTCTTCCCACGTTAGACGATGTCTCTGTAGGGAGAATTGGGATCCTTGATGTGGCTCAGAGATCGGTGGACCCTCTTGGGATCCAGAATGGCCCTCCATTCCCCTGATTTCTTTGGGACCATAGAGAGAATAGAGTAGCAGCGAAAGCATTGCTGTGGTTGTGGCACAGGCTCTATTGCTCTGATCTCCAGCAGATGCTGGATTGCTTGAAGCATCAGGTGGTGTTTCTTGGGGTCTCTAGCACTGGATGAGCCCCTGTAGGGACAAAAGGAAGAATAGTTTTCCTTGTGACTCTTCCTCTCATATAATAAGAATAAATAATAATAATAATTTATTATTTATACCCCGCCCATCTGGCTGGGTTTCCCCAGCCACTCTGGGCGGCTTCCAACAAAGTGTTAAAATACAGTAGTCTGTTAAAGATTAAAAGCTTCCCTAAAGAGGGCTGCCTTCAGATGTCTTCTAAAAGTCTGGTAGTTGTTCTTTGACATCTGGTGGGAGGGTGTTCCACAGGGCGGGTGCCACTACCGAGAAGGCCCTCTGCCTGGTTCCCTGAAACTTGGCTTCTTGCAGTGAGACCAGTGTTATGTGGTCTCGGCGGCCGCTCCCAGTCACCAGTCTAGCTGCCGCATTCTTGATTAGTTGTAGTTTCCGGGTCACCTTCTAAGGTAGCCCCACGTAGAGCTCATTGCAGTGCCTTCTTTTTGTCCCTGGTCTCTTCCAGTGCATCTTCCAAGCCCTTCCTAAACAGCTTGCCCCCCTTGAAGGGGTCGCTGGCCAGGCTGGTCTTGGCTTTGGCTTCCGACTGCCACTGTTTAAGCCAGAGCTGTCTGCGAACTCCTACATCCGCTGCCAGGGCCCTTGCTGCAAGTTGCAAAGTGTCCGATGAGGCCTCAGCCACATAATTCAACCCCCCTGCGATGCAGGAATCTTTTGCAGAATGTGGGGCTCAAAGCCACAACCCCGACATTATCATGCTCTACCTACTGACCTATCCCAGTAGACAGCACAGCCTGAGCTAGATGAACAAACTGCAGCCTCGTATGTCCATCTGTTTTCGTGCGGGAGCCTTGCTGTGGCTGCTCCCTTCCATTTATTCCAGAGTTCCACTTCTGCTTGTTATGAATACTCTTCTGTTGGTAAGTGCCACCAATTGTGCCTTAATGCAACGGGTAGATTTCACAAAATGCTGGCAAACTATAATTTCAAAAACACAGATTATATCCTGAATATGTTGCAGAACAGCCAGCCGACCGGTGGCTCAGCCTGCAGGAGAGCGTAGGCTTTATTATGTTGAAAAGGCCTCTTTGGAAATTTCTCAACACATGAATCCCATGTTGGGAGCAGCAGAAACGTTTAATTTCCATTGATTTGAAGGTGTGGGGGGTTGGGAAATGAAACCCGCGCCCTCCCATTAAATGGAAAGATCCCTGAAACTCACTGTCGAAGTTTCTCCTTCTCTCTTGTGTTTTCCAGGTAGAAAAAAAGGAGTTTCAGCATCGAAACGTGGACAAGGCTTTTGACTGCCAGCTGCCTGGAACGACAACCTTTGAATGAACTAATCAGCGGCCCTAATGAAATAATTTCCAGAGGAAAAGTGATTTTTTCGCCCTTACTTAAAGCCTTTTTTTCATTTAAGGTCTCTCTTCCCACACAGCAAAGAGGTGGGTGGGGGAGTGTTCCTTGACATTGTTAATAATTTCCTCCCTCAAACTGCCGGGGTGGCAAAAAAAGAAACAGAAAATTGCAGTTGTTTGCTTTCATTAAACCTTTGGAGGAATTAGCAGCTGCTGGAGGAGAGCCGAAGGAAAAAAGAGTTGAGTGGCCACACCCTGGGAATGGCTTCTCATAAAAGGAGATAAGAGATGATCAGGGATTCAGTCCTGTTTCAGTCGCTCCAGGACACAGTAATGTGGGCTGTTCCTTTTGGACAATAAAGGCAATTAAGCTACTGTTTGCAGCCTACACAGAGCCCTGGAAGGAAACCTCTGCTTCTGCTTGCCTCAGCCGCTGGTGTTTCGCTCAAGCATCTGGGCTAAGGAGGAGGCGGCGGCGGGTCAAGATGCTGGCCATCAGGAAGAGGGGCTTCAAGATGTTTACTCTTGCCTTATTGTTTGTCATCACCATCACGTCGTTCTTGCTGAACTACAGCCACAACACGGTCATGGTCGCCTGGGACCCCAAACAGCTCGTCTACCAGTTTTCGGAGCAGTTTCGGAGACTGATGAAATATTCCCGGAGGCCTTGCAGCTGCCACACGTGCATTTCTGAAGAGGGGGTCTCGCTCTGGTTCGACGACAGGTTCAACCAAACTATGCAACCCTTCCTGACCACACAGAATGCCTTCATGCCCGAAGACAGCTACAAGTGGTGGCTGGTGAGTAGCTAGCTGTGGAGAGAGACCTGTTTGCCTTGGGGTCTCCCCACTTTCTTGTGTTGTCCACCCCCCCCCCAGCCTTTAGTCATCCAACTTGTCCCTAGCCATTTTAATTGGTGTGTATGTGTGAACCAAGAGGGATGCGGGTGGTGCTGTGGTCTAAACCAGTGTTCCCCAACCTTGGGCCTCCAGCTGTTTTTGCACTACAATTCCCATCATCCTTGACCACTGGTCTTGCTAGCGAGGGATGATGGGAGTTGTAGTCCAAAAACAGCTGGAGGCCAAAGGTTGGGGAACACTGGTCTAAACCACAGAGCCTAGGGCTTGCCCATCAGAAGGTCGGTGGTTCGAATCCCCGCGATGGGGTGAGCTCCCGTTGTTGAGTCCCAGCTCCTGATAACCTAGCAGTTCAAAAGCACGTCAAGTGCAAGTAGATAAATACCGTATTTTTCGCTCTATAACACGCAGTTTTTTCCTCCTGGAAAGTAAGGGGAAATGTCTGTGCGTGTTATGGAGCGAATGCCTACAGATGGCAGGGGAATCCGCTGCAGTTGTGAGCAGTCCGTGGCTCTCTTTGAAACAGCAAAGCGGGTGTAAGCGGCTCCTGTCAGCGAGCCGAGCCGGGCAGGAGGGAGAGAAGCAGAGCGGGGTTGGTTGCTTTAAAACAACCCCGTGCTCTATGTCCCTCTCTCTTCTCCACTGAGCTGCTAAGTAGCAGCAAAGCTTTTCAGCCAGCCTAGCCGGGAGGAGGGAGAGAAGCAGATCGGGGCTGGTTGCTTTAAAACAACCCCGTGTCCCTGCCTGCAGTTTTTTGCTGTCCGTATTTTGGAGCAGCCTGTAGGGCTGTGTGTGTGTGGGTGTGTGCTTGAGCTTCTTCTCTCCTCTCCTTCCTGTTTCCTCTCCGCCCAGTGCTCTCCTTGGATTTAGAGTGATCCTCTGTGTGTCTCTTTGGCATCGTTCTCTTTCTCTTGCTTCCCTTCACCTCCCAGCGCCCCTGCGCTCTTCTGCGACTTTGAGGAGTTGATACTGTGTGTGCTTTGTGCGAGAGAGAGGGGGGGTCTTTCTTATGCTTCCATTCCAGCGCCCTGCTCTCCTGCGACTAGTTAGATTGGATGATTGTGTGTGAGGAGGGGGGGGTCCGTTTCCTTCTTTGCTCCACTCCAGCGCCCCTGCGTCTTTCTGCGACTTTAGATTGATATCTGTGTGGTGTGTGTGTGTGTGTGTGGGTGTGGTGTCTTGTGTTGTGTGTGTGTGCGGCATCGTTCTCCTCTTGCTTTTCTTCAGTTGCCTGCGCTCTCTGGGACTTAGGATTGATACTGTGTGTGTGAGAGAGAGAGAGAGAGAGGGGGGGGGTCGTTCTCCTTCTCTTGCTTCCCACTCCCAGCGCCCCTGCCTCTCCTGCGACTTTAGGATTGATACTCTGTGTGTGTGTGTGTGTGTCTGTGTGTGAGAGGGATTGTTCTCCTCCTCCTGCTTCCTGTTCACTCCCCCAGCGCCCCTGCGACTTTAGGGCGACTTTAGCATGGATCCACATGGATCCTCAGGATTTTTGCATTGGGCTACCCCAAACTCACCGTCAGATCACATGTCTGTGGCCACAGCATGAACCACAAAAATCATACATCCACTGTTTTGTTTAGAATATTTTTTTCTTGTTTTCCTCCTCTAAAAACTACGTGCGTGTTATGGTCTGGTGCGTGTTATAGAGCGAAAAATACGGTAGGTACCGCTCTGGCGGGAAGGTAAACGGCGTTTCTGTGTGCTGCTCTGGTTCGCCAGAAGTGGCTTAGTCATGATGGCCACATGACCCGGAAGCTGTCTGTGGACAAACGCCGGCTCCCTCGGCCTATAGAGCGAGATGAGCGCCACAACCCCAGAGTCATCCGCGACTGGACCTAATGGTCAGGGGTACCTTTACCTTTACCTATGTGTGAACCATCATTTTAGTGCAGGATTCTCCACAAACAGGCACATTTCTGTATGCACTTTTTGACCAAGACGAAACACCTTTGCAAGCAATTTCCTCCTAATGCAATGTAAATCTTTTGGTGCTGTTTTTCACAAACGTGGGGCATTTTCCTTTCCCCTCGTATGCGCATTGTTGTGCACCTTGGTTGGTTGGAGCCTTGCGTGGCTAAATTTGGAAGGGTCGTAAAATCATAGAAAGAGTTTAATTCAAAATTCCCAGCTATTGGCAAATTGAATCAAAGGATCTTAGAGTCCAACCCTTCAATGCAGGAATTTCAGCTAAAGCGTCCTTGACAGATAGGCAAACAAACCTCTGCTTAAAAATCTCCAAGGAAGGAAAGTCCACCACATCCTGAGGGAGACCATTCCACTGTCAAACAGCTTTTACTGCCAGAAAGTTTTTTTCTACTATTTAATCTTCCTCTGGTGAGGCTTCCCTAGGGGGTTCTCTGGCTGGAGGCTCCCACGTTTCCGAGCACAATTCAAAGTGTTGGTTCTGACCTTTAAAGCCCTAAACGGCACCCGCCCTGTGGAACACCCTCCCACCAGATGTCAAAGAGAAAAACAGCTACCAGATTTTTAGAAGACATCTGAAGGCAGCCCTGTTTAGGGAAGCTTTTAATGTTTAATAGGTTATTGTATTTTAATATTCCGTTGGAAGCCGCCCAGAGTGGCTGGAGAAACCCAGCCAGATGGGCAGGGTATAAATAATAAATTATTACTATTATTATTATTATTATCATCATCCCTGAGCATTGGCCATCAGGGCAGGGCCCGATAGATCCTTGCAAACATCTGGAGGGCCACAGATGTGGGCAACAATAGGCATTGAACCTTTGTGTTATTCATTCATCCCCTCAATGTGTTTCCCAGCCATTTTCGTAACTATCATTTTGTTTGCCTGGTACATTTATATCCCACCCGTTTCTCCAAAGAACTCAAAAGTGACTTGCATGGTTCTTCCTTTCCCCCACATTATCCTCAGAGCAACTCTGCAAGGTAGCCTTGAGAGCAAGTGATTGGCTCAAGGTCAACCAGCGAGCTTCCTGGCTCAGGTGGGGATTCGAACCCTGATCTCTCCCAAGTCCTAGTCCAACACTCTAACCACTAAACCACCACTGGCTCTCAACAAATCAGCAGAGAAGTTGCCTTTTGTAAGAACACTGCAGTTGCACAAACCTAAATTTCCTGCATGCTCTTGGATCCCTCCTGCAAATTACTGACAGCCTGGAGGCAGCTTTAGTGACCAATCTGAGAAACGGTTTGTTCTGCATGGTATCTGGTTTCTGTGGCAAGCTGTCCATCAGAAATTTCTGCCGTGGGTGGCTTTCCCGATGTCTGAGAGGCCCGTTAAATCTATGCTGACAGCGGGGGGGGGGGGGACACCTGCCAATCCTCCCCAAAATCAATATCATTAGAGGCAATGACCGGATTTCTGTTGCCTCTGGTCTCACCAGCTGGCTCATTTCTTACTTCACATTATAATTGGGTTTGGGCAGGGGTAGGAAACAGCTGCGGAATAGATGTTCACATTTGCCCGTAAGGAAATGAAAGCACCATATTATGGACATTGCAAGTCTAGGTAGGGATACAAATGTGGTGTAGTGGTTAGAGTGTTGGACTAGGACCTGGGAGACCAGGGTTTGAATCCCCATTCTGCCACGAAGCTCACCTCGGTGAATTAGGGATTTTCCCTGCATGTGAAGACAGGCTCAGCAGATTGAGCAGAAAGACCATTAGTGGGTCCGACGCTCAGGAAAGCGGTTTCTCCAAGAGCTTTAATCAAGGAAATGAATGTGATATCTACCATGTTTGAATGCCTCTTGTGTCACCTAACCTGCTCCAGCCTATTGATTCCCAAGCCAAGACACTCTTGTAACAACAACAACAACAATAACAACAATAATTTATTACTTATACTGGGCCCATCTGGCTGGGCGTCCCCAGCCACTCTGGGCAGCTACCAACAAAATATTAAAACACATGATAAAACATCAACATAAAAAACTTTCCTAAACAGGTGTCTTCAGATGTCTTCTAAAAGTCAGATAGTATTTTTATTTCTTAGACATCTGATGGGAGGGCATTCCACAGGGTGGGTGCCACTACCAAGAAGGCCCTCTGCCTGTTTCCCTGTAACCTCACTTCTTGCAAGGAGGGAACCACCAGAAGGCCTTCGGAGCTGGACCTCAGTGTCCAGACTGAACAATGGGGGTGGAGAAGCTCCTTTGGGTATACTGGACCGAGGCCATTTAGGGGTTCAAAGGTCAGCACCAACACCTTGAATTGTGCCTGGAATCCTTTTTCCACAGCCCCTCCGAAAGCCGCACAGTGACTCGTGTGTTCTTCTTTACAGAAGCTGCAAGGGGAAAAGAACCCCAAGGGTTTAAACGAGACCATCCAGGAGCTGTTTGAGCTCATCCCTGGAGATGCGGACCAGCTCCTGGAGAGAAGCGGTTCGCGATGCAGGCGGTGCGCCGTGGTGGGGAACTCGGGTAACCTCAAGCAGTCGCAGTACGGCCAGGAGATCGACAACCATGACTTCGTGTTCAGGTGAGTCCCTGTTGCAAGGCTTAGCGGTCTTAGCCTGACCGCTCTATGCCACTGCAAGTAACGAAAAGAAAAGAAAGAAGCCATTGTCTTCATGGTGAGGCTTAAATTGGTGACGTCTGCAGCTGAGCCTCACCACAGATCCCATTTACCAATTTCCAGCCCATTGCTGCTGCAGACTCGTGACTCGCATACACCTCCCCCTCACCTGATAATTCGATATTTGCAACCAAATGGGGGAACTGACTCCATAGGGGAAAGGCTGCAGCTCAGCAGTAGAACACCTAGTTTTTGTGCAGAACGCCGCAACTTCAGTCCCCAGCATCTCCACGTAAGGCTGGGAGCAGTGGTGTAGCATGGGTTGCCAGAGCCACGTGGAGGGACGTTTGAAACGGACAAAATATGTGTGCACATTCAACTGCCTCACGGCATCCGCATCGCCCAGGAGATTGCAGCCATCGAGATAAGAAAAGGGAAGTAATTCCGTTGTCCGGAGAGGTCGCTTCCTGGTTCGCATGGAGAAGCCGTTTCCAACCGGAGCCCAGCGACGGAAGCTGTATTGAGGCATCACTGGGGCAACCGCCCCTGTGCCCCCCTTAAAAAAGCTACACCACTGGCTGGTGGGGGAGAGAGAGAGATCGGTCTGAAATGCTGAACAGCAGCTGCTGCTCAGTGCAGACAATACTGAATATGCGCAAGGCAGCTTACTATAAAAGGTAAAGCGAACCCTGACCGTTAGGTCCAGTCGCGGATGACTCTGGGGTTGTGGCGCTCATCTCACTCTACTGGCCAAGGGAGCTGGCGTTTGTCCGCAGACAGTTTTTCCAGGACATGTGGCCAGCATGACTAAGCTGCTTCTGGCAAACCAGAGCAGCACACAGAAACACTGTTTACCTTCCCGCCGGAGCGGTACTTATTTATCTACTTGCACTTTGAAGTGCTTTCGAATTGCTAGGTTGGCAGAAGCAGGGACTGAGCAACAGGAACTCACCCCATTGCGGGGATTCAAACCACCGACCTTCTGATCGGCAAGCCCTAGGCTTTGGTTTAGACTATTTGGTTTTACTATATTTCTGTACAATAATTGATTCTAGCTCTTGCCAGGTCTTTCACTCTGCCTCTTGGGAATGGTTTGGCTGTTCCACTTAAACTAAAAAAAAAAAAATTCTCTCATATATATATATATATATATGCTTTCGTAGATTTTCACGGGTACAGGAATGCAGGTTTTGGTGTCCTCGGGTGTCTTCCCGTGTAGAAGTTGGGGTGTCTAGGCGACGTTTCGACGAGGTCTCACTCGTCATCTTCAGGCTGGTGCTTTCGGCTTCTTGTTACTGGAACAGAGCAGGATCTCAGTGTTTGAGTTCCTATAAATACTGTTGAGGGGGTGTGGTGTATAGCCTCCAATGTTCTGGGCAGAGAGGAAGTTCCCAGGCTAGTGTGCCTTTTCTTCTTTTGTTCCTTAATTACTTGAGGGATATCTTGAGTGATTTCTTGAGTGATATTCTGAGTACCACTTAGGTGGGTCATTAGGTGTGGATTAGTTGCTAAAGCCTTCGTGTCTTGACCTCTTGAGCTTTGTGAAGAGTTTTTCTGAGAAGATGGCTGTACTGCACTTAGTTGTGCTCTGGCTTGGCTTCGTGTATAGGGGCGAGCTGTGGTTTTGTGTCCTGTGCCAGCCAGATCTGTGTAGGGATTGCAGGGGGGTGCAGCATCCGGAGGTGCCACCATGGTTTGGCTACTGGATGGTGTCTGTAATTTATCTGTGGAGAGGGTCTGGGTTTGGGTCTGGTGTGGTTGATTGGTGATGGCGTTCTGTGTGCCTCTGGATCTGGTGTCGGTTTTTGTGGGGAGGGCTAATTTCCAGATGTCTGGCAGGCGGGATGTGTCGTCACGCTTGTTCATGTTGTGAGGGTGTTTCTCTATCTCGATGGCTTCCATGATTATTCTCTTGTGGTGATGTTCCATGTTAAAGAGCAATTTGGAATCTGCAAAATTAATTTCGTGTCCTGTTTCTTTCATGTGTTGGAAAAGAGAGGAAGTTTTTTCTTCTTTTTTGACGGCATTCTTGTGTTCTGCGATACGTGCATTTATTCGTCTGTTTGTTTGTCCAATGTACGTGGCTGGGCAGACTTTGCAGGGTATTTCATAGACCCCTTGGTTTTCCAACTGGATTTTATCCTTGGGGTTTCTGAGGATATTGGCTATTTTTTGGTTAGTGCAAAAGGCTGTTTTGATATTGTGTTTATGGAGGATTTTGCTAATTTTATCTGTAGTGCCCTTGATATAAGGAAGGAGGGCCATGCCATTGTTTTCTTCTGTGTCTTGGTTTTTGGGGGGTGTTTCTTTTTGGATTAGCTTCGTAACCCTGTTTTGCTGGTATCCATTGGCGATTAACACATTTGAGAGATTCTGTAACTCAGTTGTCAAGTGGTCTTTGTCAGCCAGGCGTTTGGTTCTGGAGATGAGAGTCTTGGCTACGGAGTTTATTTGTGCAGGGTGGTGGTGTGATTGTGCATGTAAGTAGCGGTTGGTGTGTGTTTTTTTCCGGTAGATAGTGTGTCCTAGGGAGCCATCAGGTTTTTTGTAGATTAGGACGTCAAGGAAGGGAAGTTGGTTGTTGGCTTCTATTTCCATAGTGAATTGTATTTTGGGGTGTAGGCTGTTGAGATGTGTGAGGAAGCTATCTAGTTTTTCCTTCCCGTGTGGCCAAATTACAAAGGTGTCGTCAACATATCTGAGCCACAGTTTGGGTTTGTGTTCTGACTTGTCTAAAGCATTGGTTTCAAAGTGTTCCATGTACAGGTTTGCGATGACCGGTGAGAGGGGTGATCCCATAGGTGCTCCTTCTATCTGTTTGTATCTTTGTCCATTGTGGATGAAGTACGTGTTGGTTAGGCAGTGGTTGGTCAGGTCCAGGATGTATTCGGGGGGATTGTATTTGTTTTGAATGGCTGTCAAGGCTTCATTAATGGGCACTTGTGTGAAGAGAGATACAACATCGAAGCTCACAAGTAGGTCATTGGGATGTAGGTTTTGCTTCTTTATTATTTCTATGAACTGGAAGGAGTTTGTAACGTGTGAAGGGATGGATTCTGCATAGGGCTGAAGTTGCTTAGCGAGAAATTTAGCGAGATTTTGCAGAGGTGAGCCTATGGAGCTGACTATTGGTCTGAGTGGTGTTCCTTCTTTGTGTATCTTGGGGAGGCCGTAGAGTTTGGGGCATCTGGATGATTTTTCTCTGGGGATGATTCTTAGCTGGATTTCTTCACTGATAGGAGAGGCTTTTATTTTGGATTTGGTGGTTTTTTCCAGATAGGTGGTGGGATCTGTTTTTATAGGTTGGTAGGTGGGGTCTTGGAGTAGATTTGATAGTTTTGCTTGGTAGTCCGATGTGTTCATCACAACAGTGGCATTACCTTTGTCTGCTGGGAGAATGATTATGTTGTTGTCTTTCCTCAGGTTGGTGAGTGCTTTCTGTTCTTCTTTGTGTAAATTGCTTCTGGGTGGTTTGCTGGAGCAGAGGATGTTGGTGACTTCAAGTCTGATTTTATTGGCTTCATCTGGGTTGATTTTGGTTAGGCTAGCTTCGACTCCGCATATGATGTTTTCCGTGGGGATGCGTCTCGGGGCGACTGCAAAGTTGAAACCTTTGGAGAGTACTTTGGTTTCAGTTGAGGTGAGGATCCTGTCTGATATGTTATGTACTGTTTGTTTCATGGGTTGTTGTGGAGGGTGGCTGGGCTTCTGGCGTTTCTCTAGTTTGTGGAGTTTGTTGGTGTGTGTGTCTGTCTTATGTGAGGTCTCAGTTTCAGCTCTCCAGACGGCTAGTTGTTTGCATTTGTCCCAGAGTGCAGGGTGGATTTTGTTACAGAGTTTGAGGTGAAGAGTGAGCAGATCTTTGTTGGTTTGGTTTAGTAGGTATCTTTTCTTATGTAGTTCGTTTCTGATAAGGGATAGTTCAGTTCGTTTCAGGATCCTTTCGGTAGCTGGGGTTTTAGAGTGGAATTTAAGTTGGAAGCATGTGGGAATTAAGTTGTTGTCTCGGCAGTTGCGTAGGAACAAGAGCCACCATCTGAAAGCACTCACCAACCTGAGGAAAGACAACAACATAATCATTCTCCCAGCAGACAAAGGTAATGCCACTGTTGTGATGAACACATCGGACTACCAAGCAAAACTATCAAATCTACTCCAAGACCCCACCTACCAACCTATAAAAACAGATCCCACCACCTATCTGGAAAAAACCACCAAATCCAAAATAAAAGCCTCTCCTATCAGTGAAGAAATCCAGCTAAGAATCATCCCCAGAGAAAAATCATCCAGATGCCCCAAACTCTACGGCCTCCCCAAGATACACAAAGAAGGAACACCACTCAGACCAATAGTCAGCTCCATAGGCTCACCTCTGCAAAATCTCGCTAAATTTCTCGCTAAGCAACTTCAGCCCTATGCAGAATCCATCCCTTCACACGTTACAAACTCCTTCCAGTTCATAGAAATAATAAAGAAGCAAAACCTACATCCCAATGACCTACTTGTGAGCTTCGATGTTGTATCTCTCTTCACACAAGTGCCCATTAATGAAGCCTTGACAGCCATTCAAAACAAATACAATCCCCCCGAATACATCCTGGACCTGACCAACCACTGCCTAACCAACACGTACTTCATCCACAATGGACAAAGATACAAACAGATAGAAGGAGCACCTATGGGATCACCCCTCTCACCGGTCATCGCAAACCTGTACATGGAACACTTTGAAACCAATGCTTTAGACAAGTCAGAACACAAACCCAAACTGTGGCTCAGATATGTTGACGACACCTTTGTAATTTGGCCACACGGGAAGGAAAAACTAGATAGCTTCCTCACACATCTCAACAGCCTACACCCCAAAATACAATTCACTATGGAAATAGAAGCCAACAACCAACTTCCCTTCCTTGACGTCCTAATCTACAAAAAACCTGATGGCTCCCTAGGACACACTATCTACCGGAAAAAAACACACACCAACCGCTACTTACATGCACAATCACACCACCACCCTGCACAAATAAACTCCGTAGCCAAGACTCTCATCTCCAGAACCAAACGCCTGGCTGACAAAGACCACTTGACAACTGAGTTACAGAATCTCTCAAATGTGTTAATCGCCAATGGATACCAGCAAAACAGGGTTACGAAGCTAATCCAAAAAGAAACACCCCCCAAAAACCAAGACACAGAAGAAAACAATGGCATGGCCCTCCTTCCTTATATCAAGGGCACTACAGATAAAATTAGCAAAATCCTCCATAAACACAATATCAAAACAGCCTTTTGCACTAACCAAAAAATAGCCAATATCCTCAGAAACCCCAAGGATAAAATCCAGTTGGAAAACCAAGGGGTCTATGAAATACCCTGCAAAGTCTGCCCAGCCACGTACATTGGACAAACAAACAGACGAATAAATGCACGTATCGCAGAACACAAGAATGCCGTCAAAAAAGAAGAAAAAACTTCCTCTCTTTTCCAACACATGAAAGAAACAGGACACGAAATTAATTTTGCAGATTCCAAATTGCTCTTTAACATGGAACATCACCACAAGAGAATAATCATGGAAGCCATCGAGATAGAGAAACACCCTCACAACATGAACAAGCGTGACGACACATCCCGCCTGCCAGACATCTGGAAATTAGCCCTCCCCACAAAAACCGACACCAGATCCAGAGGCACACAGAACGCCATCACCAATCAACCACACCAGACCCAAACCCAGACCCTCTCCACAGATAAATTACAGACACCATCCAGTAGCCAAACCATGGTGGCACCTCCGGATGCTGCACCCCCCTGCAATCCCTACACAGATCTGGCTGGCACAGGACACAAAACCACAGCTCGCCCCTATACACGAAGCCAAGCCAGAGCACAACTAAGTGCAGTACAGCCATCTTCTCAGAAAAACTCTTCACAAAGCTCAAGAGGTCAAGACACGAAGGCTTTAGCAACTAATCCACACCTAATGACCCACCTAAGTGGTACTCAGAATATCACTCAAGAAATCACTCAAGATATCCCTCAAGTAATTAAGGAACAAAAGAAGAAAAGGCACACTAGCCTGGGAACTTCCTCTCTGCCCAGAACATTGGAGGCTATACACCACACCCCCTCAACAGTATTTATAGGAACTCAAACACTGAGATCCTGCTCTGTTCCAGTAACAAGAAGCCGAAAGCACCAGCCTGAAGATGACGAGTGAGACCTCGTCGAAACGTCGCCTAGACACCCCAACTTCTACACGGGAAGACACCCGAGGACACCAAAACCTGCATATATATATATATATATATATATATATATATATATATATATACACACACACACACACACACACACACACACACACACACACACACACCGCTTTCAATATGCTGTCCTTTAAACAAGCAAATAAAATAAAACCCATGGCGATTTATGTTGAAGCAAACAGGCAGATCGTATTGGGAGGTTTTTCATTGCGTTACTGCCCGTCTGCCTGTTCACCTGTAGGGAGCACCCTCTTTTAGCAGCTCTGCTCATCTTCAGAGGCCTCAGGGTGCCATAGCCTTTACCCGAATTCAAGCAACCTTGAGTGAACTCTTTATGGTGGAGTTCCAAGTAATCCAGGGAACAGTTTAGTTAAATACACGCACACACCCTAGCCACAAGAACTGGCAAATATTTTATAGAGGATGAAAGGTCGTGTCAACCACGGACATGGTCCAGCCACTTGTGGGCTTTCTTACCAGCATGTTATTTAGGTGGCATTCATGCACAGACACCCATATCAGGCTCAGGACCAGGGGAGGCTGCCTTACATGGGGTCAGGCCACTGGGCCACCCAGCCCAGTATTGACAGCACTGGCAGCAGCTGTCCAGGATTTCACACAAGTCCTTTCCAGCTGTTCTTGGAGTTGCTAGAGATCGAATCTGGGACCCTCTGTTTTCCAAAAAAGTGGGGGCTCTACTTCTGTGGCCTTTCTCTTTCGCGTACACGATGGTTTGGATTGCCAAATTGTGCCTGTTAGCGTAGCCGCAAGGGTGTTTCTGGCACCCACGAGGCCCCTCTCCTCCCCCTGCTGAATTTAGTTATTTATGTACGATTGTTTCATACAATTTAAATGCTGCTTAACTGTAAAAAGACAAAAAAAGCACCTCAAAGGGCAGGGGGGTTGACCAAGCTAATAGTATTATCAGTAAAAAAAAACCAGCTCTTTAAAATGTTCAAAAAAATAAAATCGGCAACAAACTAAAAACAGATTAAAACATACTTCAACCTTCTCCAGGTCTGGTTAGGCTTTACTAAAGGATAAATGTTTTTAGCAGGAGCCAAAATTGAGTACAGCAAAGGTGTCTCTGCCTGGTGTCAAATAGGCAGGGAGTTCCAAAGTGTTGGTTCTGCCACACTAAAAGATCAATTTATTGTAAATATAGAACAGGTGTTATATGGAGCCTATAACAGTCCGATAACAGCCATTAACAGATCAATTTCTTGTAAATATAGAACAGGTGTTATATGGAGCCTATAACAGTCCCAGTTCTGCAGATTGAAGCAATTGAGTAGGGTGGTATTATTAATTAATTAATTAATTTTGTATACTGCCCTGTATACCGTATACTGTATACAGGTCTCAGGGCAGTTCACAACATTTTGCAGGTAAACTGGTCCCAGATTGTTAATGGCTTTATATACTAACAGTAACACCTTGAACTTGACCCGGGAGCAGATCAGGAATCAGCACAGATCTCTGGGCAAGTGTTCTATACTGACAAGATCTCGCTCCTGTCAGTAACCATGCTTCAGCATTCTGCACTAACCTCAGCTTCGTTATCAAGCACAAGGGAAGCCCCACAAAGGGCACATTGCAGTAATCTAGCCCAGTGTTTCCCAACCTTTTTTGGGCAAAGGCACACTTGTTTCATGAAAAAAATCTCGAGGCACACCACCATTACAGCCCCGTGACGTCAGCGCGCAGCGTCACGCCGGGAGGGACATGAATTGCTAGCAAATTACATAATCACCTCCTTGAGGGCTGGCTCATCTTCTCCGAAGGCAGAACCCCATTAATTAACAGCACAGACTCACACCATAGCCAAGACGAGGGGGGAAAACCTCAGTCATGCACAGTCATGCACATGTGGGGGCTAAATGAGGACGAAGACCGGGCAGAGAGCAGGGTTCAAATCACCCCACCTGGCCAGGACAATCCCTGGGTGCTCCCTTGGGCCACTCGCCTGACCCACCTCGCAGGGCTGTTGTTGCGAGGATAACACGGGGAGAACCACGCGCGCCCCTTGGAGCTCCTTGGAGGAGAAAGCGGGCGATGAATGCAATGCACGAAATATATGAGAGGCGACCAGGTTTTGCAGGTGAGGGGCCCCCGCCAGCCTCCGCTTCCAACACCCGGCGCAACGACGCCGAAGTTTCCCCCCGGGCTCGGCTCGGGGAGCAGCGCTGCTCCCCCCGGCTCCCCTTCGCCCTCCCGGCTCTCTCTGCCGCCCACTGGGGACCCCCCTCACCTGCCAAGTCCGGAGCGCCGGTGGAAGTTGCATGCATGCATGCAGGGCGCCGCGTTGCCATTGCATTGCACTGCACTCCATGCAATGCCTGCATGCATGCATTGCCTTGCACGCCCGCCAAGGGGTCTCCCCGCGGTCCGATGCGTCCCCTCCGGTGCGGATGCAGCATTGCAAAAATAAAAAAACCCCGACGCAGCCCTATCTGGGGGGCAGCCTCCGCGGGGATCCCTGGCCTCCATCCTGCCGCCCGATCTCCACGGGGGGCGCAGGCAGGCTGCGCGGGGTCTGCGCGGAAGAGCCCCTGCCCGCCCGGCCGCCGCCGCCGCGCTCATTCCATGGCCGGGAGAAGAGCGCTTCAAACAAAACGCCCGGCCCACCAGGCCACGCTGGGAAACGTAGTTCGCGCACCCCGCGCGGGCGCGGAGCCCAAGGGCGAGGGGACTACAGATCCCGGCAGCCCCCGCGCCGGGGACGGAGGGGGAGAGGCCAGGTGCAGGGATGGAGGGACGGGTGGGCGAGCGAGTGAGTGAGTGGCAGCCGCCAAGCCTTGGCCGAGAGCCAGGAAGGGCCTCCCCGGAGGAGGAGGAGGAGGGAGGCACAGGGAGGGAGGGAGGGAACCCCAGGGGTCATCTAGTGATGGCGCCCCAATCGAAAATTTGACTTTTTAAAAAAAATCTTTCAATTTTTTAATTTTTCCTGCGGCACACCAGGCAACATCTCGCGGCACACTAGTGTGCCGCGGAACAGTGGTTGGGAAACACTGATCTAGCCAATGCATGAACTACCATGGTCAGTCTTTCCCAATCCAGGAATGGTTACAGCTGTTGAACCAATTGCACTTCTGCGCTTGAGAGGAACCCTTCTTTAGCCAACAGAAGAATTTTCTGAAGTCCATTCTGGGTGCAGGGGCTGGCTGTGAGACTTACGAGGTGGGAAGGGGAGAGTTTCTCCAGCCTGCAAATGCGCCCATCAATAGCGGCCGTTGCCACCTGTGGCAAGATGATGCCAATTCCTGCCTGCCCCTTGTACCTCCTCCTGGCGTCGCCTGCTTTTTCCCTCACCCCTCTTCTCTTGGACCACACAGAATGAACAAAGCCCCCACAGCCGGCTATGAGTCTGACGTCGGCAGCAAAACGACCCACCACTTTGTCTACCCCGAGAGCTACAAGGAGCTGGGCGAGAACGTCAGCATGATAGTCATCCCGTTCAAGACCCTGGACCTTCGCTGGGTCGTCAGCGCTCTCACCACAGGGACCATCAACCAGTAAGTGGCCGTGTCTGCTCTGTTCTAGGAGGCCATGAGAAGTTGGGCGAGTTCTATTGGACGAGATCTGGGAGTCTTTGTGGACCACTCATGTTGGTTCATGGGGGATGCGGGTGGCGCTGTGGGTTAAACCACAGAGCCTAGGACTTGCCGATCAGAAGGGTGGCGGTTCGAATCCCCGCGACAGGGTGAGCTCCCGTTGCTCGGTCCCTGCTCCTGCCAACCTAGCAGTTCGAAAGCACGCCAGTGCAAGTAGATAAATAGGTACCACTCTGGTGGGAAGGTAAACGGCGTTTCTGTGCACTGCTCTGGTTCGCCAGAAGCGGCTTAGTCATGCTGGCCACATGACCCGGAAGCTGTACACCGGCTCCCTCGGCCAATAAAGCAAGATGAGTGCCACAACCCCAGAGTCGTCCGCGACTGGACCTAATGGTCAGGGGTCCCTTCACCTTTACCATGTTGGGTCAACAGTGCGATGCAGCAGCAAAAAAAGCAAATGCTGTTCTAGGCTGTACCAACAGAAGTATAGTATCTAGATCAAGGGACGTAATAGTGAGCCCACATCTTGATCCAGCAGATCTCTTCATATGATCTCACAGAATAGAAGAACCACAGAACTGTAGTTGGAGGGGACTCCAAGAGTCCTGCGCAATGCAGGAATCTCAACTAAAGCACCCATGACAGATAACCGTCCAACCTTTACTCACAAACCTGCAAGGAGAGTCCATCACCTGAGAGAGTCCGTTTTACTGTTGAGCAGCTCTTACTTTCAGAAAGTACTTCCTGGTGTTTAGTCTTGTCACTTGAAGCCATTGGTTCGAGTCCTGCCCTCCAGAGCAGGAGAAAATAAGCTTGCTTCATCTTCCATGCGACAGCCCTTGAGATATAATAATAATAATAATAATAATAATAATAATAATAATAATAATAATTAATTAATAAATAATAAATAAATAAATAAATTTTATTGATGCCAGAGCCGGGCTCAGGGCGGCTAACACCAATAATATAAAATCACAGTAAAAACATAATAGTGGGGAAAGAGAGGGAGAAAAACGAAAAAAAAAAACCCAATTTAAAATACAGGTTAAAATGCAATTTAAAATGCAGCCTCATTTTAAAATAGCTGATAAATCAAGACCATAAGGGGGAGAGAAACATAAGGGTCAGACCGAGTCCAAACCAAACAGCTGACAAGATGTCAAGTCCCGCTGGGCCCTTGTGACAGAGCGTTCCACCACGTCGGGGCCAGTGTTGAAAAGGCCCTGGCCCTAGCTGAAACCAATCTAACCTCCTTGAGGCTCGGGACCTCCAAAGTGTTGTTATTTGTGGACCTTAAGGTCCTCTGCGGGGCATGCCAGGAGAGGCGGTCCCGTAGGTACGTGGGTGCTAGGCCGTATAGGGCTTTAAAGGTCAAAACCAGCACCTTAAACCTGACCCTGTACTCCACCGGGAGCCAGTGCAGTTGGTAAAGCACTGGATGAATGTGATCCCGCTGTTGTATCTCCTCTCAGTCTCCTGAGGTTTGGTTTGCAGACCCTTGATCCTCTTGGTTGCCCTCCTCTGCACACGTTCCAGCTTGTCAACATCCTAAATTGTGGTGCTGAGAACTGGACTCCAGGTGTGGTCTGACCAAGGCAGAATAAGAGTGGGCCCATTACTTCCCTTGATCTGAACACTAGACTTCCGTCGATCCAGCCTAAAGTAGCATTAGCTGTTTTTGCTGCTGCATCACAACGTTGGCTTATGTTAAGCTTGTGGTCAGAGATTCTTCCGTTGCGATTCCTGCATTGCAGCAGGTTGGGCTAACCAACTGTTCAATTCTTCCCAACTCTACAGTTCTATGATTCTATACCTGGCTGATGCAGGCTATTAGAAGGTGTTCAATCTCGCCCTCCAACACCCGCCTGATATTTATTCTTACGTGCCTCCTTCCTGTTCCATTTATTGCGTCTGGAAGTTGCCGCCGATCAGATCAGGCAGGTTCCTGAAGTTAGTGTCTGGATGATGGTTATTATTATAAGCCACGGCAGCCCACCGAGTTCCAGCCAGGAAATTAAAAACACAAGGAGCACACAATATAGAGAGCAGGCCTTTGGCAAGCAGGAAGAAGATGGGCTCTTGATTAATGGACAGGGACTTTTTTTTATGAAGTGAGAGCACTTTTTCCCTGCAATGGGCCACAGAGAGCCAAAGCAGGTGCAGCTCAATTTTGAGCCTCAACGGAGACCGACGATATATGGGGGAAGCAAGCGTTCATGACCCCATAGGAACCTGGCTGGCTGTTGGGAGAACGGAATGAATGCGGAATCAGACGGGCCTTTGGCCTCATCCAGCCATTGTTGTTGGCAGTAAGAACGTTTATTTTTATTTATTGCATTTATAGCTCGCCTTTTTCTCCAAAGAGCTCAACGTTGGCATACTGTGTGATCCTCCCCCCTCCTCATTTAATTCCCACAACAACCCTGCGAGGCAGTGACTGGCTCAAGGTCACCCACGGGGCATCATTACCTGAGTGGGGATTTGAGACCTGTCCCACTGAACATAAGGAGAGCATGCTGGATCAGGCCAATGGCCCATCTTGTCCAGCATCCTGTTCTCACAGTGGCCAGCCAGATGCCCGTTGTCAGGTGTGCGTGCAGGATCTAGGCCCTGTGACCAATAGGACTTTGCAGTACTGCAGCCTTCCTAAGTTTGTTCTGAAGAGGCAAGGCGTGGCCACACAGGTGAGGCCGGTTGGTAACTCACAGCACCTGGTGGCAAGAGCCAGGAGCCAATATAAGGTCAGCATTTCCCTTCAGCTCTTTGCCACAGCAACTCGTTTCCTGCCTTGCTGCATTTGGCTTCTTGCTTCCTGATCCTTGAACCTTGGCTTCTTGACTCCCTGCTTCTTGATCCTCGGACCCATGACTTCGTGACTCCTTGCTTCCTGACCCTTGGACCCTTGGCTTCCTGAATCCTGGCTTCTGGGCCCCCGTTCCTGCTCCCATCCCGCCATCCTGCCGGGACTTTGATTGCCCGTGACACCTGTGGAAGAGCTTATGCTCTTCTGGAATCTCAGCTAAAGCATCCATGACAGATGGCCACCCAACCTCTGCTTAAAAACCTCCAAGGAAGTAGATTCCACCACCTCTCGTTGGGGTCTATTCCACTGTCGAACTGCCCTTAACTGTCAGAAAGCATTTCTGTGTGTTTAGATGGAATCTCCTTGAAGCCATTGATTCACGTCCTACCCTCCAGAGCAGGAGAAAACAAGCATGCTCCCTCTTCCACGTGACAGCCCTTGAGATATTTGAAGATGGCTATCATATCTCCACTAACATGAGTTTGACCAAACTGCAGGAGGCAGTGGAAGACAGGAGTGCCTGGCGTGCTCTGGTCCACGGGGTCACGAAGAGTCGGACACGACTAAATAACTAAACAACAACAAATCATAACTCCTCTAAGTCTCCTCTTTTCCAGGTTAAACATACCCAGCTCCTTAAACCGTTCCTCATAAGGCTTGGTTTCCAGATCATCTTGGTCGCCCTCCTCTGCACACGTTCCAGCTTGTCAACATCCTTCTTAAATTGTGGCACCCAGAACTGGACAGTTCTGCAGGTGTGGTGTGACCAAGGAAGAATAGAGTGGGACTATCCTTTCCCTACCAGGGACGCGGGTGGCGCTGTGGGTTAAACCACAGAGCCTAGGACTTGCCGATCAGAAGGTCAGCGGTTCGAATCCCGCAACGGGGTGAGCTCCCGTTGCTCGGTCCCTCCTCCTGCCAACCTAGCAGTTCGAAAGCACGTCAAAAATTCAAGTAGATAAATAGGTACCACTCCGGCGGGAAGGTAAACGACATTTCCATGCGCTGCTCTGGTTCTCCAGAAGCGGCTTAGTCATGCTGTCCACATACCCGGAAGCTGTACCCCAGCTCCCTCGGCCTGTAAAGCGAAATGAGCGCCGCAACCCCAGAATCGGTCACGACTGGATCTAATGGTCAAGGATCACTTTACCTTTACTTTATCCTTTCCCTTGATCTGGACGCTAGACTTCTGTTGATACAGCCTAGAATAGCATTCACATTTTTTTTTGCTGTTGCATCACACTGTTGACTCATGTTAAACATGTGCTCCACCAAGACCCCTGGATCCTGTTCACATGTACCATTAGTAAGTCGTCCATAGCCTACTAGCCAGGATAAGAATAACGTATCTGATCCCCCTTGCAATATAGATGTTCTCTTTCAATACACACAGATTTCATCATAGTAACGGTGCCTCTTTTTGCTAAACAGAACTAGGAAATGAGAGAGGAAAATCGTTAAATAGAAACGGATATGCAAAGTTGTGGTTTTGCATACTGAGATACAATGTGCTGCGTGGCACTTCCTCTATTCCCCCCCCCCTCCATTATGCCTTATTTATTTTTGGGGGGTGGAGGAGAAGGGGTCAGGGTTCCTTCCTTTGATCTCGCTGTCCGTGAAAAGCAAGCAGCAGGAAGCAAGGTAACGTGAATGTCTGCATGTAATGCGGTGGAGCAAAGGCTAAAGAAATTTAGGCAGCTTACAGTGTAACAGAATCAAAGCAAACTTCCTGGACAGGATAAGCGCAAACCGAAGCGTTCATCAAAGGTTTCACGTTCCAGGGTTTTATTTGGGAATTGACAAAAGCCTCTGTTCTTATTAGCAGAGTTTAAGGGAATGGATTAGTCTCCCTTTGGTAAAGAAATGGATTTTAGCAACGGCTTCATCCAAACCAGAATGCCACATATATGGCAGGGAATTCTTTTCTGTAAAAATAAAATAAAAAATATGTATGTGTCTTTTAAAAAAAAAAAGTGGGTTTCACAGCAGCTATTGACTTTTTCTGAGGATGAAAGAGCTTTTTCCTTGATCCACGGCAAACCTGAGTGTTCTGCCGTAGAGACAGGACAGACAGAACATTGGTTGGGGAAAGGGAGGGCATTCTGTTGACTGACAGCTGTGAGGAGTAGAGGGAGTGAGTGAACATTCCATGACATCACAGTAGCTTAGCCATTCAGGAACAGGGCATGTGGAGAGACATGGATCTGCCAGTCTTTGCTCGCCTAAGGTTTAATGCCCTTTCTGTGTTTAACTTTTGGCAAATTGACTATGGGCTGGAGGGAAATAAAACAGTTATGCTAGCAGAAGTCCTGCTAGCACAAGTGGGACTTTTTCATATGTCCTGCACCCATGTGCCCCAGATCAGCTCTGGTGGGCGAGGGGTCAAGAGAACCCTTGACATGGGGGAGTAGGGTGTGCCGTTTTAGGGAATTAAACTTAACTTTTGCAAATTTATTTGGTGAGGAGTCTTTAAAATATGTGTGTTTTTTGGTGTGAGGAATTCAAATCTGCTATTATTTTTGTGATTGGACAACATTTAGCTTGGTAAGTACGTTTGATGAAGAAGCACTGCTTTGGGAAAACCAAAGAATTTTAATTTTACCTTCTGAAAATGTCAGGTAATGCTAAATAATAATAATAATAAATAAATATAATATTGATATATAATGTAACTACAGGAAATAATGTAACTTGGAAATAATTTTTAATGATTTCTATGCCATTTTACACACATTTTACTCACCAAGCCAAACTAAATCATATGAATTGAACCAAAATACCTTTTGACTTCCCAAGTCACACTTTTTAGCATCCCCTCATTTTTTGGAATTTGAAAGTTGACAAATTCAACAGGCCCTAATGGGAGTTTGCTCCATCTTCCAAGCAGAAATGCACTGTGACAGAATAGCGACCTGAATTTCTCCCTATATTTTGCAAACCTACATTTTAATTTAGTGTCTCATTCATAAATGACATAGATGCCAAGACTTTGGATTTAGAAGTAAGGGTGGATGTTTTACTTTTTTATTATTATTATTTTTTACTGCATGCTGCACAGGGTGTACCTTGCTTTTACTGACTCACATATATCTTTTCTTTGACAGCACATATATTCCAGTGCCACGCAAAATCAAAGTCAACAAAGGCAAGGTGAGTTATTGCTCTGATCTGGCCACAAAGTTCTTCTGTACGTAAGCATGGGCTACATTCAGATGATCCTTCAAACCGTAGAATTGTAGAATCAGAAAAGACCGGCCCTTCAATGCAGGAATTTTTGCCCAGCGTAGGACTCGAACCCACAACCGTGAGATTAAGAGTCTTGTGCTCTACCAACTGAGCTGTCCAGCTGGCTAACCATAGATGGAACTTCTCTAAGATTTGCAGTGCTCGCTTACAAAGTTAGTTCCATTTTGTGTACACTTGAAAACGTTGGCAGCATTAAGATAAATCCAGCAGTATAAATAAGTTTTGATGGATGCAATAATGGAATGCTGAAGGATTTGGTTTATATAAAATATGCAGGGATTTATGTTATGCAGAATGAACCATGGAAGGAGAGGAAGGGAAGTCATTGATATTTTAAGGTTGTTTAAATGAATATTCTAAATTGTAACACACACAACACAACACAACACACAAAGTTAGTTCCATTTATGCATCACTTCCAGGGAAACACCTTGAAGCAACTGAGCAATAAAAGTATCAGCAGTAGAAAACATATATAGAATAATTTCTCATATCAAAATGATTTCAAATCCAATGTGGATACAAAGTGGCATTAAAACCCCCGATTTAAAGGCTTGTTAAAAAAGGAAGCTTTTCAGTAGTGGTGGTGCTTATTTGATATGCAGCAGGAAGAAATTCCACAAGACAGATGACACCCCACCAAAGGTCCAATTTCTACACCACAAAGAACTCATAACCCACCTGCTTTCAGCAGCCAGAAGCATCATAGCCAGACACTGGAGAGACCTGTCAGGAGTAAGCACAGACCAGTAGTACCAAAGAGTATGGGAAACAGCCTTGCTAGAAAAAATAACCAGTAAACTGAAACTGACACGGGGACAAATAGAAGAAGACGCCTTCACCCCCGGTATGGCTCCTCTTTATCACACACACATAGTCCAACAAGACAACAACAAAAATCCACCAACAGCATACAAATCAATATGGCTAACCTGACTCAAAACACCCACCCACCCCACTCACACATGAGAACTAAGATCACCACAGCCAACCACAAATGAACAACCACACCCTAGGCCAATCCCAACCTCTCTCACCACCAAAGGAACACAAGTGAACAGCAGAGAACCTGCACAAGCAACGCTGACACCAAACCCTACATATAGTAAGTAAAATAGAAACATCGCCACCCGACCCCCCCATCTCCCCCCCTCCACCTCTTTTCCCCTTTGCTTCCCAATGTCTCAATGAATGAAACTGATTTGTAAAAATGTTACATGGGGGGAAATACAAGAGAGAGACACTGTACACACATTTGTACACACATTTGTACACACATTGTACACACATTTGTAAATCAAGAAAATCTTTAATATAAAAAAAACAGAAGGAAGATGGGAACAGATGGTATCTGCAGTGATCAGTAGGGTATACAAGGGGTCAGACGATCTTTTAGGTATCTTATACCCCAAGTGAGCTTCCCTGGAGAGAGTATTGCACAAATTGGGGAGCCACCGCAAAAAAGGCCCCGTTCTCATGCTGCCACCCTCTGGACCTTGCATGGAGGGGTGGGCCGTTAACCTGATCAAGCAGGATATTCCTATGTTCATGTCTTGGACCATGAGAGTGCTAGAAAGCAGCAGTTTTTTTATGGATCAGTCAACAGAAACATGTATTTTGTGGCTAGGTGGTGATGAAACTCTCAGATCATTCCCTTTCACCTCTTAGTTGCTTAATTTTCTGCTCTGCTACTCGGGTGCAGATCTAAGCGCTGAAAATCACATAGAGCTGAAAGAGGAAGTGGGGAAAAGGCACTGCTCTTCCAACTTCTTCACGGCCTAGGACCCTCGTACCTACGGGACCGCCTCTCCCGGTATGCCCCATGGAGGACCTTAAGGTCCATAAATAGCAACACCCTAGAGGTCCCGGGCCCTAAGGAAGTTAGATTAGCTTCAACCAGAGCCAGGGCCTTTTCAACTCTGGCTCCGGCCTGGTGGAACGCTCTGTCTCATGAGACCAGGACCCTGCAGGATCTGATTTCTTTCTGCAGGGCCTGTAAGACAGAGTTGTTCTGCCTGGCCTTTGGCTTGGAGCCAATTTGATTCCCTCCCTCTCTTTCTTTTTCCTTTCTCCTCCTGTGATGAGGCTGCATTTTAACATTTTAATATTTTACTGTTTCAATATTTTAATGTTGTATTTTAAACTTGTTTTTAAGTTGTATTCATTCAACTTGTTTTTATTATTGCTTGTTAGCCGCCCTGAGCCCGGCCTTGGCTGGGGAGGCCAGGGTATAAATAAAATTTATTATTATTATTATCAGGGACACTCGCCTGGTTTAGCCAGCCAGGGGTCTCTACATTGAGATAAAATACATATTTTGCAATAGCATGTTTAGTTGCCTTATACTGTCGAGATCATCATCATCATCATCTATTATTTATACCCCACCCATCTGGCTGGGCTTCCCCAGCCACACTGGGCAGCTTCCAACGAAATATTAAAATACTGTAATACATCAAACATTAAAAGCTTCCCTAAACAGGGCTGCCTTCAGATGTCTTCTAAAAGTCTGGTAGTTGTTATTCTCTTTGACAGCTGGTGGGAGGGCGTTCCACAGGGCGGGTGCCACTACCGAGAAGGCCCTCTGCCTGGTTCCCTGTAACTTGGCTTCTCACAGTGAGGGAACCACCAGAAGGTCCTCGGCACTGGACCTCAGCGTCCGGGCAGAATGATGGGGGTGGAGATGCTCCTTCAGGTATACTGGGCCGAGGCCATTTAGGGCTTCAAAGGTCGACATCAACACTTTGAATTGTGCTCGGAAACGTACTGGGAGCCATCTAGCTTAGTATTGTCTACACTGACTGGCAGCTGCTCTCTGTGTTTTTGTTTTGTGTTTCCTTAAAAGGGACATTCCCTGCTCTACGTAGGGATGCTGAGAATTGAGCTCTGGGCATTCTTCAAACAAAGCAGATGCCGTCCTACTGAGCCACAGCCCCAGTACCTACTTTGCAATGCAACATTTAACAATACGCATTTTAAAGGAGGATTTTTGTACAGGATTTTTTTTTAATATCTCAGGCGACTGTAGAAATGTGGTGAAATTGATTTATGAATGAACCCATGTAAGGGGGGGGGGCAGAACAAAAAAATTCAGATCCCTCCATCCTTACTACAAACCCCATATCATGTCAGGGGGGATGAGCCAAAGTTTCAAAGGCAGCTCGCGAAGTGATGTTGTTCAAAATTCCCACCATGTAACTGTAAGAAGCAGCAGGAACCAAGCTAGCAGTTCAGTGGCGTGGCTGCATCTCCACTTACTGGTGGTGATGGGAACTGCACATCTAGCATTTCCTTGAACTGTTCGTTTATTGCAGAGCTTTCCAAACTGTGTCATGACATGTTAGTGTGTCGGCTGCAGTGTGTAGGTGTGTCGTACGAACGTTCCTGGAAGGGGGTCAGTTGAACGGCTAAGGGAGCTGGGCATGTTTAGCCTGGAGAAGAGGAGGTTAAGGGGTGATATGATAGCCATGTTCAAATATATAAAAGGATGTCATATAGAGGAGGGAGAAAGGTTGTTTTCTGCTGCTCCAGAGAAGCGGACACGGAGCAATGGATCCAAACTACAAGAAAGAAGATTCCACCTAAACATTAGGAAGAACTTCCTGACAGTAAGAGCTGTTTGACAGTGGAATTTGCTGCCAAGGAGTGTGGTGGAGTCTCCTTCTTTGGAGGTCTTTAAGCAGAGGCTTGACAACCATATGTCAGGAGTGCTCTGATGGTGTTTCCTGCTTGGCAGGGGGTTGGACTCGATGGCCCTTGTGGTCTCTTCCAACTCTATGATTCTATGAACCTCTGGTTTGCTAGTAAAACTGAATTACTGTGTCGCGAAATGATGTCTAAAAAGTGTGTCCCCCAACATGAAAAGTTTGGAAAGCTCTGGTTTATTGCCTGGGGCTGATAGGAATTGGAAGCAGAGTCCAATAACATTCAGAAGACCTCGGGGGCCCACTCATGTTCTAAATGTTGTGACCCATCCTGGTTTTTACAAGATAAGGCAGGTGAATAAATGCACAAATTCTGATTTTGAAACCCCACCTTTTACTGCAATTTTGCACTTGAATTCAGCGACTTCTAACCTTGTCCAATTTCATATCTCTTCTTAGCGACCTTTTTTTTGCGTCCGTGTTGTATCTGCAACCAAACTAACAAGGCCTGTTGATTCATTCTTCGCAGATCCTGATTTATCACCCGTTCTTCATAAAATACGTTTATGATAACTGGCTGCATCATCATGGGAGATACCCCTCAACAGGCTTCCTGTCGGTTATATTTGCTCTTCACATCTGCGATGAGGTACGTGCAATGCTAGGGCTCGGTGTGGACATCATGGGAAACTGTGGTTTGCCACCATGCCCGCTCAAGAGGGAGAACGAAAGCTTCCACTTTCTAAACCAACCACAGATCCTGGAGAGCTTGTGAGCATTGTAGACATCATAGAACCACCGCTTCCAATTCATGAAAAGTAATCGTGCCACTTTATTCTGCACATAATTCACATCCTCAATGAGGTGTGAATATGGGCTAATTCTCCAAGTTCAGATGTAACCAAGTTCAGGTAACCGAGCAAATATGAAAGCTTCCAGGCTCCTGCTCACAGAACAGATGGGAGTGAACAAGGCTCACACAGTTCATTTAAATAAACCACAGTTGCCGGATTCAGAGGTCACAAGGAACTGTGGTTAGTTTTAAATCAAAAGCAGAGGCTTTCAAACTCCTCCTTTGGCATGGAAAAGAAAATGAGAGAGAGGAGGGACCGCATTTTTCCAAATAGTAAACTACCGGAGCAGACCTCACAACCCCTGCAGTGAGGGTAAAAATAGATGCTGAGTGTCAGTTCTGGGTTATTCAGGTACACGGGGACGCAGGTGGCGCTGTGGTGTAAACCGCTGAACCTCTTGGGCTTGCCGAGCAGAAGGTCAGCAGTTTGAATCCCTGCGACGGGGTGAGCTCCCATTGCTCCGTTGCAGCTCCTGCCAACCCATCAGTTTGAAAGCACGCCAGTGCAAGTAGATAAATAGGTACTGCTGTGGCGGGAAGGTAAATGGCATTTCCATGTGCTCTGGTTTCCATCACGGTGTCCCGTTGCACCAGAAGCGGTTTAGTCATGCTGGCCACATGACCCGGAAAGCTGTCTGTGGACAAACACCAGCTCCCTCGGCCTGAAAGCAAGATGAGCGCCGCAACCCCATAATTGCCTTTGACTGGACTTAACCATCCAGGGGTCCTTTAACTTGTTCAGGTACAGTGGTACCTCGGGTTAAGAACTTAATTCGTTCTGGAGGTCCGTTCTTAACCTGAAACTGTTCTTAACCTGAGGCACCACTTTAGCTAATGGGGTCTCCTGCTGCTGCCGCGCGATATCTGTTCTCATCCTGAAGCAAAGTTCTTAACCCGAGGTACTATTTCTGGGTTAGCGGAGTCTGTAACCTGAAGTGTCTGTAACCTGAGGTACCACTGTACATTACTTAAACCCGATTCATTCATTCTTCTCCCACAGGCACAATTACCATCGTGTGGCGGGGAGATGGGAGATATGTTGGGAAGGTGACCTCTGCAGATGGGCTCCTTCTCTGCTTGGGGAAGGTGATGAAGCTGAGGATGGGAAGGAGATGGAAGAAGGGTCAAGAATCTCGTTCCTGCTCTCCCCTCATCACATGAGCTTGCAGAGGGCTTCCGTCCATGGAAATGGGGAAAGAGATTGAATACTATATGAGATACAGGTGGTCACCAACTTGGATGGCTTTAAAGGAGGACAAATTTGTGGAGGACAGAGCTATCAATACCTCTGAAAACTAGTTTCTGGGAAGTGGGGAGGGGCTCCTGTGCTCAGTTCAGCTTGCGAGCCTCCCTTAGACTCATCTGGTTGACCACTTTGAGGACAGGATGCTGGACTTAGATGGGCCTCTGGCCTGAAAATAATAATAATAATTTATTATTTGTACCCAGCCCATCTGGCTGGGATTCCCCAGCCACTCTGGGCAGCTTCCAACAAAGATTAAAAGTACAGTGGTACCTCGGGTTACATACGCTTCAGGTTACAGACTCCGCTAACCCAGAAATAGTACCTCAAGTTAAGAACTTTGCTTCAGGAGGAGAACAGAAATTGTGCTCTGGCGGCGCAGTGGCAGCAGGAGGCCCCATTAGCTAAAGTGGTGCTTCAGGTTAAGAACAGTTTCAGGTTAAGAATTAACCTCCGGAACGAATTAAGTACTTAACCCGAGTTACCACTGAACATTAAAATGTCACACATTAAAAACTTCCCTGAAGTCTTCTAAATGTCAGGTAGTTGTTTATCTCTTTGACATCTGATGGGAGGGCGTTCCACAGGGCAGGCGCCACCACCAAGAAGGCCCTCTGCCTGGTTCCCTGTAGCTTTGCTTCTCGCAGTGAGGGAGCCTCCAGAAGGCCTTTGGCACTGGACCTCAGCGTCCGGGCACAACGATTGGGGTGGAGACGTTCCTTCAGGTATACTGGGCCGAGGCCATTTAGAGCTTTAAAACAGAGCACTTGCTACATTGAAGGCCGAGACTTCTTCAGAGTTCTTCTCTCTTTTTCCCACAGGTGGACCTTTACGGCTTCGGAGCCGACAGCAAAGGGAACTGGCACCACTACTGGGAAAACAACCCATCAGCCGGGGCTTTCCGCCAGACGGGTGTCCACGACGGGGATTTTGAATCCAACGTGACGTTGACTCTTGCCTCGGTCGACAAAGTACGCTTTTTCAAGGGCAGATGACCCCGGTCACGGGGAGCGCTGTGATTTCTGACTTACGGGGAATACAGAGACACTTGCCGAAACGAAAGGGGTCTCGGAGTTGACTGTATCTCACGCCTTAGCCGACAAAGCCAGGAACGACAGCCGGGTTGCAGTTTGCAAGCGGCATTGCTGGGTTCCCGAATTTTCTTTACCAACGTTTGAAGGATGTGGGAGGATTCCTCTTCCTGCTTCGTCACTCTCCCTTTCGTGAGACATTTCCACTCTGTAAATCTTGCCTTGTGCAAGTTAAAGGAAGCAAAAGTTAGATCCTGACCCCTAACCCCCTTTCGTCTTTCTGAGAATGCATATCTTGAGCTTTCATTTTCTCTGGGACCGAAAACACTTGCGGAAGAGATGCTGGATTTCATTCCTGACAACAGTGGATGTGAAACACCCTCTCCGTTCACAAATTACCTCAAAAAGGAGCTAATTCTGTTTTTTATCTTCTCCTAGAAGCAGCATTCTTGCAAGACCTCTGAGCTCCCATACTGCATTATGATCAAGTGTGCATTTGTCACCAGCCGGCAAAAATTGGCACCAGCTTTAGCTGAGATTCCTGCATTGCAGGGGGTTGGACTAGATGGCCCTTGGGGGTCCCTTTCAACTCTAAAATATTATGATTCTATTATTCCATTTGCCAAGAGCTGGGAATTTTGAATGAAACACTTTCCAGTTATTACTGTGGATTCCCCCCCCCCCCCGTGTGAAATGTATTTGCTCTTCTTCATAGCCATAATTAAGGAGGGAAAAGATTGGGGGGGGGGTTGAAAATGAAGATATAAGAAGCTGGAGTAAACTAGTCACTATTGTTTACCTTTTAAAAATGTCTTTCTCGCCGCTTCTGAGCTTTCGACTCTGCTACCAATCAGAGAAATGAAGTTATTTTTATATCTATATAAATTTTTGTCATTGACATGTGCCTTTCTGAAATATCAAGAATACAAAAGGGAGAGTCGTTCTGGCTTGTTCGGCTCTCACCGAGACTGAAATCCCTCGATTAAACCTTTTTTACATATATATATATATATAGGGAAATAACTGACCAAAGTTCAACGCTACTTACCGTCATCAGTTTTTTTTATCGACAGCTTTCTTCAGTCTACTTGAAAGGTTCGCGAGCAACAGTCAGGTTTCAGTTTTGTTTTTGAGAGAGAGAAACGTTTTTGCCTTATTTTAAAAGAATGTGGGGGTTTTTTTTATTAAAAAATAAGATTATTATTTTTTTTTTTTGGCTTCTATTTTTGACTGCTGTGGTAGGTGGCTCCTGTGTGAAATTGTCCTGAAGTGGAAGGAAATTGTCTCCACCTCAGGAGGATATTGTTCAAGGGCTACATCGGAGGAGTGAGCAGAATCAAGATGTGAGATCCATGGCCAGGGAATGAGATTACTTGGGAGTCAGTCCCCAGCGAACTCCATACAGCTTACTTCTGAGCAGGCAAGCATAGGATCGCACCGTCAGGGACCTTATAAAGAATGAAAAGAGGAAGGGATGATCTCCACAGTTGACAAGGCCCTTAAGCGAAGGTGATGGGAAGAGATTAGGCTGGAACGTTGTGGAAAGCATCCTCTTCTGGAGAATGAAGAGAGGGGAAGCCGTCCTTAACGAAGCATTTGCCACAGGAACTAATTGTGAGACTGTTAGGAAGACGGCCGTGTGGCGGTTTCAAGAAAACAGTGGTGGGCAGATCCACGTTAAAGTCGCCTCGTGCCGCTGGTCGTGGGACCTCTTGAGGGGACGTTGGGGGGGGGGGTCAGAGTGATTCTTTGTGCTGAAAATCCAGATGGATATGCTACCTTCTTATTTCCTTTTTAAAAAAAATAAAATAGTGCGTATCTATTTTAATTGTCGCTATAAAACGGAGAGAGACACCCTTTCTGAAAACCTCTCCGAAAGATCTCGTGCAAGGCTTTTTAGTTCTCACGGGCAACCAACACCTGAGGATAAACACAGTTATTATTTTTAAATAAATAAGAATGCATAAACCAGCTGTATTTCAGCAGGAAGGAGACGACGTGGGGGTCAGGATGGTTGCTTTTTCCTCAAAACGAAAGCGGCCAGATTTAAGGACGCCTTTTGAAAACTTGCCATTTGACCCTTAGCCCCAGTGGGTTGTGGTAATGAATTTCACAGCGCAGGGGTAGTTCGAAACCTGTTCGAAATGAGTGCCGCAGCAAGGATATTATTGTCTGCCCCAGAATTGTTTAGATTCCCTGGTAGGGTTGCCAGTTCCTTTTGCCCGCCTCTGCGCCTGTGCCTTTCACGGCAACATGATCTGCAAGCGGCTAATTCTTACCTCCACATTGTGGGAAGTGTTGCCTGCAGATCAGGGTCGCTGCTCAAAATGCACAAGAGCAGGCCAGACTGCCCCCATTAATTGGCAACCCTATTTTACAGACTGGAAATAATGTTGTTTTTTTCAACATCGTACTCTGAGCTTATAGGGTCGGAACAACATCCAAATAAATCAATTTGTAGTTAGCACCCGAGGAGGACTGAACTCACACGCACTTGATATGCATGTGAATGATTCTAGTTTCAGTCCCTGATATCCTGTCCCACCCCCTTTAAAAGGAAGTCTGGTTCATCATTGAATGAAATCAGGAATATCTTCCCTGCGAGGACAGAAAGAACTGAGACACATGGCTTGGCTTCAGGTGGTGCACTTACCCTGAGCACAATCTGGGACTGGGTCAGAATTGTGAAATTGGCTTAATTTATTCTTCATTCCAGGACGCGGGTGGCGCTGTGGGTTAAACCACAGAGCCTAGGACTTGCCGATCAGAAGGTCGGCGGTTCGAATCCCCGCGATGGGGTGAGCTCCCGTTGCTCGGTCCCTGCTCCTGCCAACCTAGCAGTTCGAAAGCACGTCAAAGTGCAAGTAGATAAATAGGTACCACTCCGGCAGGAAGGTAAACGCCGTTTCCGTGCGCTGCTCTGGTTCGCCAGAAGCGGCTTAGTCATGCTGGCCACATGACCCGGAAGCTGTACGCCAGCTCCCTCGGCCACTAAAGCGAGATGAGCACCGCAACCCCAGTGTCGATCACGACTGGACCTAATGGTCAGGGGTCCCTTTACCTTTACCTTATTCCTTGTTCCAGTATTTTGAGGGGGGTTTTCCAATCAAGTATGTGAATATATATATTGCGTTTCTTAAAAAGTAAAGATAAAAAATTCTAGGTTGGTAGGGAGAATGAAAACATATGGAGCAGCGATGGAAGGCAGCGAAGGAAGGATAGAAAGTGGAAATTTGTAGGAAGGAGGAGATCTGCTTTGAGCACACAGGTGTCCCGACCACAGAACATCCCTGTAAATGTCTGAACAGGCAGAAACGCTTATGGGTTTTCTCACTTAGCCATGAGGGCTGCAGGTTGTGTGTTTGTTTGTGTTAGCAACCCCTGCTCTCTAGTCAGGGGCAGAGACTGCACTGTCCTCACTCAGTCTCGATGAGAACTCAGATTGATGCCTTTGTTTCCCACAAGCCACAGAGACCTCCAACTGGGAAAGCGTTCCCTAAGCTCCCAAATGTTGTGATGAGAAGCAGCTTCCCCGGTTGGATTTCTGCCTGTCCTGGCACAAGATTCCCTGCCGGAAGGCGGAGACAAACTGGCACCCTTAGCCCAATCAAACTATTCACCAGCCCACCTCAGCAGAGCTTGGAGCGTAAGAACATAAAGAAAATGTTCTCAAAAGAGCTGCTTATTTGGTTATCCTCCATAATGTTTTCTTCTTCTTCCAGAACCTGTGGTATTATTTTTTTAAGGAAAGAAATCACTCTTAAGAAACTTGTTGGCTTATCATTTTTAAATCAAGGTGTGTTTGTTGGGTGGGTGTAATTTCTCCCCCTTCTCCCTTCCCTATTGGGTTGTGTCGCTGCTTTTTGCAGAATTCTCTTCTGCGTTCTGCTTATACTTCTGGTGTCTGATTTGGCAAGGCTGCAAGTTCCCAAGCAACTTAGACACACCCATGCTTCAATATTTGAGCCTTTAAAAAGCAGGCAGGGCTTTGGGCATTGTTTGGAAATGGACTCCCAGTCAAAGACCAGCCCTGCTTTAATGGGTGAGATTCTATGTCCAATAGCTTTTGTGAGCATTCAGAAAGTTCATCTTCTCCCCTTTGCTGAGAAGAAGGAGACTGTGTCTCTGTTTACCTCTAGGCGGCAAAGCCAGCATTTCTCACTTTTCTGATACCAGGTGATCAGTGATTTATTGATTAAAAATGGAAGCTAACATGACACTCAAAATGACAAGGGTTTTCTCATTTTCCAGCAAAACTCTAGTAACCAGTAACACTCTATAGCTGTCTTCCTGCTATGATCGCAGTGAGGGTTACCAGCTATATATATATATATATATATATATATATATATATATACACACACACACACACACCTACTTGTGCTCTTGTGCCTTTAACAACAACTTGAACTGGAGGCAATGGGCAGACGCGTTGAACTCAACTGCCTAATTTAAATCCATTTCAACAGGGTCTGCCTGAGTTGTTGGCTGCAGCTTTCCATTCTGCGCAGAAGCTTTTACCCACCAATTATTTTGAAGGTGGAGTGGGTGTTAAAGGCGGAGGAGCAGGCCTAGATAGGTTTCCTGATCAGTTGGCGACCTTAATCACAGAAATGTCGGTGAGGGCGAGGGTCAAGTGCCAGCCCCTGCAAGCTCCCCTTTTGAGGAAAGAACTGTAGCTCAAAAGTAGAGCTTTGCATACAGAAATACCTGGTTCAATTGCTGGTGTTGCCCAATATAGGGCTGGAATGTCCCTGCTAAATTATCTTTTAAAAGTATTTATTTGTAGGTGTGGGTGTTTTGAGCAAAGCCAAATTTCTTTGACACTTGTCTCCAGGGTTGTCGTCAAAGTCTTCTTTCTATCTATCTTTCTTTCTTATACTGCTCTTTATATGATCACTTTTCTCTCTGCAAATGAAGGATCACTTTGTTTTACTTGGCGACATCTTATTTATTGTTGACATTTTCAATACGATGCAAATGACTTCGAATAAATTTTTGTATTGTAATCACCCGTTCCTCTCGAAGGCCTCTTTATTAGACTCGGCGTCTGATTAAAGAAATTGTGCTCGCTGACCGCAGGAGCTTGCGGTCAGTTAATTGGTTAAATTGTTCGTTGAGTGTGTGGCAGCTGTGAAGAATCAGATTCCGTGCTATGGGTCATTAGGAAAGGAATTGGAAATAGAACTGCCAATATAGTGATGCCGTTATACAAATCTACGGTGCGACTGTATTTGGGGATTGGTGGCGGGGCGATGAACAGGGTTTAGTGAGCTCGGGGTGTATGTGGCAGAGAGAAATCAGAAGCAGGCTGGAGAGGAGGGGGTGTCAAGAGGCAGAGATAAGACTGGCTGCTGCAGAAGCCAGGGGGTCTTCCCATCCTGCAGCCAGTTCCCCTCCCTGCTGCTCTCCCAGGACCAGTAGTGCTATGAAGAGCAAGGATCAGAAACAGATAAGACTACAAAGTCTCAGATTGCTTGGGAAGGACCCAGGGAAGAAGGAGACTTAGAGAATAGGGGCAAAATCCACCAGGACGAGTTTCTGTGCCTTCCAGAGCCATCCATGTTTCCTTGAATAAAAAGTTACCTTCACCGGCGCTGTGTGATTTATTGCTAACCTGCTCCTCACAGTTCTATATACTGTATTTTTCGCTCTATAGGATGCACTTTTCCCCCTCCAAAAATTAAGGGGAAATGTGTGTGCGTCCTATGGAGCGAATGCAGGCTTCTTGGCTTCAGCGAAAGCAACGCGAAGCCTCCAAAGCGCAGAGGGAGCGCTCCCTCCGCACTCCAGAGGCTACGCATTGCTTTCGCTGAAGCCTGGAGAGCGAGAGGGGTCGGAGTGCACCGACCCCTCTTGCTCTCCAGGCTTCAGGGATAGCTGCCTGAAGCCTTTGGAGCGCAGCGGGACCTCGCGCTGCGCTCCAAAGGCTTCGGGATTAGCTGCGCAAAGCCTCCGCAGGACAGCGGGATGAAGGCACTCCGCTGCCCTGCGGAGGCTTGAAAGGCTGTCCCTGAAGCCAGAACAGCGAGACGGAGCGCTGCGCAGCATCTCGCTGTTCTAGCTTGGGGATGCCGGGGCTTTATGGGGAAATCCTGGGCTTCTCCCTTCAGCCCCGGTACTGATTTGATTCAAAATATTTTTTACTTGTTTTCCTCCTCTAAAAACTAGGTGCGTCCTTTGCTCAGGTGCGTCCTATAGAGCGAAAAATATGGTAGTCTTAAACGTGCCAGACATTTGCATATACAGATGGCACGAAGTGACTATGTGCCTCAATACCTGTGAAAGAAATAAAATCATGCCATATGTTGTTTTTTAAACTGATTTCTCCCTCTCACATACACAAGGGGAGAGAGAGGAAAGAAAAGCAATACTTGTATCATACACCTCCTCTGAATGGTACAGTTGTGTTATCATGGTTTGGATAAGCCTAATCTCCTTGGAGTTTGTCTAATCTTAAAGGAGACTAATCTGCCGTGGAAGAAAATTCTATGAACTAGGAACACATCTTTCTGATTTACTTGCATATAAACTGCGCTTTTGATTAATAACAATACACCAAGGCAGTGTGACACACAATGCAACAGAAACCTTGGTTAAAAACAGCAATAGCATATCCATAAAGGTTGTGTTTTTAAAAAATCAAAAATAAAAGCAACTTAAGAGAAGGCACCAGGTGGTAAACACACAAACGTGTACACATGGGTGGTGCTGTGGTCTAAACCACCGAGCCTCTTGGGCTTGCCGATCAGAAGGTCAGCTGTTTGAATCCCCGTGACGAGGTGAGCTCCCATTGCTCTGTCCCAGCTGCCAACCTAGCAGTTCGAAAGCATGCCAGTAGAAGTAGATAAATAGGTACTGCTGCTGCGGGAAGGTAAACAGTGTTTCCATGCGCTCTGGTTTCCGTCACTGTCCCGTTGCGCCAGAAGTGGTTTAGTGCTGCTGGCCACATGACCTGGAAAGCTGTCTGTGGACAAACGCTGGCTCCCTCGGCCTGAAAGCGAGATGAGCACCAAAATCCAATAGTCACCTTTGACTGGACTTCACTGTCTAGGGGTCCTTTACCTTTACATATGTGTGTGTGTGTGTCACACCACACACCATGTAGGTACAATAAAAATTGGCTGAGTATGATTTTAAACATAGGATAAAATGAAACCCATTACTGTTTTGGGTGAGATGAATATTAAAATAATAATTAACCAAATCCTTCTCGGTAGTGGCGCCCGCCCTGTGGAATGCCCTCCCACCAGATGTCAAAGAGATAAACAAGTACCAAACATTTAGAAGACATCTGAAGGCAGCCCTGTTCAGGGAAGTTTTTAATGTGTGACATTTTAGTGTATTTTTAATCTTTGTTGGAAGCCGCCCAGAATGGCTGGGGAAACCCAGCCACATGGGCGGGGTACAAATATATTATTATTATTATTATTATTATTATTATTATTATTATTATTATTATTATTATTTTATTATTATTATTGATAAGGGAGAGGACAAACCGAGTTTTTCCTTATTGACGTCTATTGATTCTGGCTTGAGTGCTGGCCTGGGGA